AAACAATTTTCAACAATTGCAATTACATTTAAAATACCAAATACATGTTTGGAAATTGCAACTGCTTTATGGAAAACTAATTCACAAACTACTTTATCTCAACCTACAGAGGATGAAACGATAGAAAGTTTAAAAATTGCTCAAGCGTTTAATGAATGTAATTTAGCGTCTTATAATGCTTTGATAAGTGATTTGTTAAATGCACTTTTGGAAAAAAATTTACATTGGCGGCATCGTTTAATGGCAATAGATTTTATTCGACTTTTGGTTCACCCAGAACAAATGTATCCACCAAAAGTAATTCGTTACTTTTTAGGAACATTAATACATGATTCATTAAATGAAAGAAATATTGCTCTTCGAATAGTGATATGCATGTTACAACAACAAAAAAGACAGCATCCAAAGGTAAAGTATTTTGAAAGAATCTATTTTATAAATAACTTTGATATAACTTAAACTCAAATTTTTGAATTTCAAGATAACTATTGATCCTCCAATATCATCAGAAAAAGAAAATCAATCTGTGAAATGCATATTAGGGCAAAGATCAGATAATACTTGGCTTCAATATAATTACGAAACTCGTCCCTTGTCTGCAGAACAATGGGATGAACCTAGATTTATTCATGAAGCATATTTAGGATTTTACACATGGCCAAAAAAAATTCAAATGTATGCACCAACATCTCAACAACCATGTTTAGATCCAAATGTACGAAAATTAACAGATTATGAAAAAGAAATTGATTTCTTTTTTAATGATTCACAAAATATCGAAAAACTTATAAAATTTTATAGTCTTGAAACAAAAAAAGACAAAGATAAATTTAGTTATTATAAATATCGTCTGTTCAAAGGTCTTTTTCGCAATCATGGGATAATATTTCTAAAAAAATTGTTGCCGCATTTACACGAATTAGTGAAAGATAAACAAGAAAGTAGTCAAAGATGTGCAGCCGAAATTGTTGCAGGAATCATTAAGGGTTCAAAACATTGGCCATTTAATATGGTTTGTGAAATGTGGGATTCTTTATTACCAATTATAAAACTTGTCTTAATTAATATGACACCAGAAACACTTGCAGACTGGGTTCTTTGTTTTTCTACAGCTCAGCAACATAGAGATCCAAATAGGCAACATTGGTTATTAGAATGTTTGATGGAAGAAATTTGTGTTAGTGAATCAGAATCATCTTTTATCGAATCGGGTCGTTTGTTTATTTTGCAAACAGCTCTTGCTAAACAGCCATGGCGCGTGTTGGAATTATTACAACGTTTGTTGAAACGAATAGAAGATAGATTATTAGCAAATCCATTTGAAAATATGAGAGAACGATTGAGTTCTATTTTAGTAACAGTGTTCACAAATTTAAAAACTTCAAACAATCAGTCAGTATCACAGATACAAGATTTCATAAATAAAATAGTGCCAAAATTACAACCTCTTATAGATGAAAATGCAACAAAATTCAACAAAGAAATAAAAAATTCATCTTCACAGATATCTATTGTTGAATTAAATGATTTTAAAAAAGTAGAAATAAATGAAGAAGAAAGAGAAAGAGCAATTAGATTACTTAAGACAATTTGTAAATGGATTGTAAATATGAATTGTGCATGGTATGGTTTACCACCAGAATTATATCAAATATTTCCAATTATATATCAAATGGAAAATTGTGAAATAGATGAAGAATTAAGAAAATCGTGTACATCTGCTTTAACAGTATATGCACAAGCATTTACATTACCATGTAATATGTCAATAGCTTTAGAAGCAATAGAAAAAATGTCTAAGCATATATCTTGGTGGACAAGATCTGCTTGTTTGGAATTCCTTCAGGCTTGGGTATTCTATAACATGTGTACACTTTTAAGTAATCCAGCATGGGTTAGTTTCATAAAAGATATTGTTTTACGCTTGTTGGAAGATGAGCGAGTTGAAGTAAGAAAAAATGCTGGTAAAGTTCTTAGCGGATTAGTACATTGCATGTTTATTCCTGAGCAAGAATGTTTATTGGTAAACTTAAAATTTTATAATATTTATTTATAGTAATTAATTTGTATATGTATGTATATAAATTTTTTAGGATGAATTTAAGAAAAAAGCAAAAACCAAATTATATAAAAAAGAAGGATTAAATTGTAAAGAAGAAATAAAAAAGAAGTTAAAAACTGATGCTTTACGTATTCGTCATGCAGCTATAATAGGAATGTGTGCATTTGTACAAGCTAATCCATATGATATACCAAAATATGTACCTCCAATTTTTGAACATCTTCGTGCTCATATGAATGATCCACAACCTATACCAGTTAGTATTTAATAAATTCAAAATGTGAATATAAAAATAATTTATTATATAATATAATTTTTGTGAGTTATAGATGACAATTAAAAAAACTTTGGATGATTTTAAAAGAACTCATAATGGATGGAAAGATGTGGAAGAATACACACAACATTTTACAGAAGAACAATTAACAGTATTGCAAGATTTAATCATGCCACCATCCTACTATGCCTAACATAAAATTAATATTTTATTACATAATAAAGAATTTTTTAACAATATTAATATAAAAATTTTGTATATGATATTTAATCAATAATGAATTAATATTGTGCTGTGAAGATATAATATAAAGATATACAGAATATAATATAAAGATAGAAGTTTTATTTAAAATTATATACTTATATACTTATACTGTATATATAATTATATATATAGTATATATATATATTTTTTCAATTTTAATATAAATTATAGTTTTTAACAAATAACAACAAATAACATTTGATATGAAATATAAAAAATATTACTAATAATTACTAATAATATTACTAAGTTATATTAAATAAACCATATTTTATAAAATATAATAAATTTCATTATAAAGTTGGATTTATTAAAATTATCATTTAATTGATTAAAAACTAAATATTTATGTAAAAATTTTAAATAATTGAATTTGTTTTACAATTGAAAAAATGAATGCAATAACAACATATAAAATATATTTATATTAATTATAAATTATATTTATATTAAAAATTTATAAAATTTTTTAATTGAAATATTAAATTTATTATTAAATAGATTATTATACGTAATACTATTAATAATTATTTATAAATGTAATTATTTTTATCAATTCTTTTAAATCAATTTCACTATATAGAGTGTCACAAAAATATGGAAATTCTTGATATAATTTCGTACAACATTTTTATTCGACAGATTTTTTCAATACATATTACTTAAACTTGTTCGTGTTCAGCTGATAACATTACTGCGAACTAGTTTATGCGTTTCGTAATTGGCTAATGTTTTTCGTTAATAATTCATTAACAAAACCGTAACAAAAGTTTTTACAAAAAAAAATGTTGCATGAAATTATCTTAGAAATTTTTATTTAATTATATATTTGACATACCTTATACATAATATTAAGATAACAAATCATTAAATTAAGTCATAAAACATATATTAAAATACGCATATATATATTAAGATTAAAAAATCCATGTCTTAATATATATATATATATATATATATATATATATATATATATATACAC